TTCCAGGATGTCTGGCTCTAGGTGAGTGATCACACCATCGTGGTTATCTGGATCATGAAGATCTTTTTTGTACAATTCTTGTGTGTATTCTTGCCACCTCTTCTTAATATCTTCTGCTTCTGTTAGGTCCATACCATTTCTGTCCTTTATTAAGCCCATCTTTGCATGAAATGTTCCCTTAGTATCTCTAATTTTCTTGAAGAGATCTCTAGACTTTCCCATTCTATTGTTTTCTTCTATTTCTTTGCACTGATCACTGATTTAAGTCATACCTGAATGGTCTAGTGGTTTTCCCTACTTTCTTCAGTTTAAGTCTGAAATCTGCAATAAGGAGTTCATGATCTGAGCCACAGTCAGCTCCTGGTCTTGTTTTTGCCGACTGTGTAGAGCTTTTCCATCCTCAACTGCAAAAAATACAATCAGTCTGATTTTGGTATTGGGCATCTGGTGATGTCCATGTGTAGAGTGTTCTCTTGTGTTGTTGGAAGAGGGTGTTTGCTATGACCAGTGCATTCTCTTGGCAAAACTCTGTTAGCCTTTGCCCTATTTCATTTTGTACTCCAAGGCCAAATTTGCTTGTTACCCTAGGTATCTCTTGACTTCCTACTTTTGCATTCCAGTCTCCTATGATGAAAGGGACATCTTTTTTGGTTTAATTCTACAAGGTCTTGTAGGTCCTCATAGAACCACTCAACTTCAGCTTTTTCAGCATTAGTGATTGGGCATAGGCTTGGATTACTGTGATATTGAATGGTTTACGTTAGAAATGAAGAGAGATCATTCTGTTGTTTTTGAGATTGCACCCAAGTACTCTTTTATTGACTATGAGGGCTACTCCATTTCTTCTAAGGGATTCTTGCCCACAGTAGTAGATATAATGGTCATCTGAGTTAAATTCACCCATTCCAGTCCATTTTAGTTCACTGATTCCTAAAATGTCAATGTTCACTCTTGCTACCTCCTGTTTGACCACTTCCAATTTACCTTGATTCATGGACCTAACATTCCAGGTTCCTATGAAATATTGTTCTTTATAGCATTGGACATTAGTCCCATCACCAGTCACATTCACAATTGGGCGTTAAGAGAACTGCTTGACAGAAAGCAAGTAAATGCCTTGCTCCAACTGGGAATCATTTCTTGCTTCCTTATCCTATTCCCCAGCACATTCCCTCTTTCTGGTGAGAAGCTGGTTGGGTCAGATGTTTTGGCTGTAGCAAAGGTATTCCAATCTTTTGAAAAGGATTTTTCCCCCCTGTTAAAATAAATCATTTCTTAGATCTTGTTACTTATCCAGAGAAGTCCCAACCCTGCCATGCTAGACTTGTACCTTACAATGGAAGGTGAACATAGAACGGATTTCTTTGGTTTGCTTACTGTTGTCTTTTTTAACAGGCTCCAGCGTATGCTGTTCTGAAGAGCGTTATCCAGGCTGGGTGCAGAGTGGCGATATATTTATCAGAAAGACTTTAAAGTATGTCCACTTTTCCTTGTGTATAAGGATAATAGTAACTTAACAGGTGACAGTGGCAGAAAAGGAAATGTGCAGTTATTGTTCTGTGAATTTGTTAATAAATTATGAGAGGTTTTTTCGTTAATAAGACTCTGCAGTTTTGGTTGTTCTCTGTGCTGCTTCATGGCCATAAGGCTGACAGTTTACCAGATGTGTTCAGATTACCGCAAATGAAGCTGGTTCTCACTTGGTCTATAAATTTTGTTCTAAAGCAACAAGTATGAATCATTAAGAAAGTAACATATCTTCGAGAGGAAAAAAAATGAGTTCACTGGTAACACAAAGTAATTTAAAACAGTGATGTTTAAAATTAACAAAGCAAGACTATCTAGCCCATCAGGTAAGCAGAAGACTGACGTTTTTATTGTGAAATGTGGGTTGAGCGCAGGTTACTCCCATCAGAAAATATACTGAATTGTGGATTATTTGTGAAGTTGAATTACAATCATTTCCCTAAAAAATGTAACAAAATGAACTATAATTTTCATACTTTGTTGAAATCCTCTATGATTTACAAATTTTAAATAATTTGTGGGAAAAAACCTAGATCAGTGGTTCTCTTCTCTGGCTGCACATTAGGGTTCCTGAAGAGCCTTTTAGAATTTTTCAGATTGTGAACCAAAAATTCTGACTTAATTAGGGGGGAGCCCAGGATCACAATGGTTTCGAAAGTGCCCAGGTGATTCTAAGCTGAGTCAGGGCTGGGAACCCCTGGACTAGATTGTCCGCTTCTTGTGGTGAAGAATCATGTCTTTGGGTCTCTGCCTCCTGCCTAGCACCCTGTGTTTAATCACCGCCTTGCTTCAGGGCGTCCTGTTTTGGAGGACAGCAACACTGGGATCAGTTTGGACTAGTCCTCTATAACCTCTTTTTTCCTAAACCAAACATGCATTTAATCTTAGATGAGCAAGTGAATCAGTCTTCTGGTACTAATTGCAATAAATTAAACATGGGAGAGAAGGGTTGAAGACAACTGAATTCGAAATTCTTGCACTAGGTTACAAACAGATGTCTGTTGAAAAGCCAAGTTTCTACTCAGTCATTGCCTCTCTCCATTATTTTATTTTATTTTTTTTTTCATTTATTTTTATTAGTTGGAGGCTAATTACTTTACAATATTGTAGTAGTTTTTGCCATACATTGACATGAATCAGTCATGGATTTACGTGTATTCCCCATCCTGAACCCCCCTCCCACCTCCCTCCCCATCCCATCCCTCTGGGTCATCCCAGTGCACCAGCCTTGTTATTTTATAAAATGCATTTTATGTCTTTCCTTTAAAGACAATGAGTTTATTGAGGGCTAAACATCTTTTCTAGTTCCTAGTACACAGTACGTGCCCATTAAAAAGGAGGGGAGGAAAGGAGAAAAGAAAAGGAAGGGACAAAATGTACTGAAGTGAAAGTCACTCAGTTGTCTGTGACTCTTTGCGACCCCGTGGGCTACACAGCCCATGGAATTCTCCAGGCCAGAACACTGGAGTGGGTAGCCTTTCCCTTCTCCAGGGGATCTTCCCAACGCAGGGATCGAACCCAGGTCTCCCATATCAAGTAGCTACCAAACTGCTGGGAAAACGACCTGGGTGGGTGTTCTTCATCTCCTCTGGATCTCACTGCCAGAGGCACCCAGTCAGATCACAAAACTGCTGCTCAGCTCAGAACCTCGCTGTGGCTTTTCCCAGTTTTCACAGGTTAAAGGTCATGGTCCCTAAGATGGCTTACGAGACCTCCATGATCTGGCCTCTGTGACAGCGTCCCCTCCCTCACTGTTTCTAGTCTCCCTGGCCCTTTCCTACTCCTTGAAATGCTGAGGCATGTTTCTGCCTTGTGGCCTATGCAATGGCCATTCCCTCAGCCCGGCATCCTTTCCCCCGGATATCTCCATGGTGAAATCCCTCACCGACTGCTAAGGTTTTGTTCAAATGTCAGTTTTGAAAGGACGCCCACTATGAACACCTTTTTCAAAAAGGTTGTAAAGCCCACCCCACCACATGACCTCATGCCTCTTGCTCTGTTCTGCACTTTTCCCCCAGAGCACTACTACGTTCTGGCATATTATATAAGGTACTCACTTGTGTGTTTCTCGTCTGTTTTCTCCCTGCAAGAATATAAGCTCTATAGGGTAGAAATCTTTGTTTTAATCACTGACACATAACTAGTTGATGGGATTGGATGAAGAAATTGTTCTCCCTTATTATAAGTCATTTTCAGATAACTGGTAAATCAGAACTACTCCTGTTTGCATCCCAGCAAAATTCAGTGGAGATTTATTGAAAAGATACTACCAAGCTGAGCTGGGCCCCTGGCCCTGGTCTGTACAAATTGTTTTGCTATAAAACTCAAAATCTTTTAGCCAGCAGATGGGGAGAGGGTGGGGGTAGGGAGATGTACCAGGAAACCAAAGGAAGGCCCTTCTCTGTGTTTCTTGCTGATGAGTTAAAAAAATACAGACTGGAGTTTTACATCTGAATCCACATGCAAAAGAATGAATTTAGATCTGTACTTATCAGCACATAGAAAAATTAACTCAAAACACACTGCTGAATTTCTAAAGCTTTTAGAAGAAAGCATAAGAGTAGATCTGTGTGACCTTGGATTAGTCAATAGTTGTCTAGGTATGACATCAAAAGCACAAGCAATGAAAGAAAAAAATAAACTGAACTTCATCAAAAAAAAACTTCTGTTCTTGGAAGAACACTATCCTGAAAGTGAGAAGACAACCAACAGAACAGGAGAAAATATTTGCAAATCGTATATCTGATAAGGGATTTGTATCTAGAATATGAAGAATTCTTATAACTCAACAGTAAGACAAATTAATTAAAAATAGGCAAACATGTCTCCAAAGAAGATATAAAAATGGCCAATAAGCATTTGGGAAAAAGAAATGCCCCACACCATTCGTCATTACAGAAAACCACAACGAGATACCCCTTCACACCCACTAGGATGGCTACAGTCAAAAAGATGGAGAATAACAAGTGTTGGTGAAGGTGTGGAGAAATTATAACTCTCATACACTGCTGGTGGAAATGTAAAATGGCGCAGCCCCTTTGGAAAACAGTCTGACATTTCCTCAGATAGTTACACATAGAATTACTGTGCTACAGTAACTCCTCTCCTAGGTATAAACTTAAAAGAAGTGAAAATGTATTCAAATAAGTAATTGGATATGAATATTCATAGTATTAATAACCTTGTATTCATAGTAGTAATAACATTGTTTGTGATAGCCAGAAATTAGAAACAACCCAAATGTCCATCAGCCAATGAGTGGATAAACTAAATGTGGTATCTATATAATGGAATGTTACTCACCTGTAAAAAGGAAGGAAGTACTGATACATGTTGTAGCATTGAGGAACCTTAAAAACACGATGTTTGGTTACAGAGTTTCAGTATGGGAAGATGAAAATAGGTCTGGAGAGGGATGGTAGGAAGAGTTGAACAGCAATATGAAAGTGCTTAATATCGCTGAACTCTGCACATGGAAATGGTTAAGATGGTAAATGGTTACATATATTTTACAGCAATAATTTTTGAGCCCACTTACATGAAATGTGCAGAACAGGCAAATCCAGAGACAAAGAATAGACTGCTAGTTGCCTAGGACTGCAAGAGACAGAGAGAATGGGGAGTTAATGCTAATGGATTTAGGGTTTCTTTTTGGGGTGATGAATGTTTTCGAATTAGATGGTGGTGATGATTGCATAACCTATGAACATACTAAAAACCACTGAAATGTAGGCTTTAAAAAGGTGAATTTTATGGTATGAATCATAGCAATTAAAAAAAATACAGGATTTGTAGTTTTATGCCATCAGTGTATGTTAGTTGCTCAGTCGTGTCCTATTTGTGACCCCATGGGCTGTCACCCACCAGGCTCCTCTGTCCATGGAATTCTCCAGGCAAACATACTGGAGTGGGTAGCCATTCCCTTCTCCAGGGGATCTTCCTGACCCAGGGATTGAACCCAAATCTGTTTTGCAGGCAGATTCTTTACATCTGAGTCACATAGCAATTTTATGCCATATTTGAAAGCAAATTTCAGTCCAGGCAATTGAATGGGAAATGATCTATTTAAAGTACAAGCCTTCAGGCCAGCAGGGCATGTGGAAGTCTTGATCTTCCGAGATGCTGATGCTGTTTCTTGCCTTCCTGTATCAAAGTGAATTTTGTAAGTGTTGCAGTCAGTAGTCTCAGTCCTATGAAGGCATTTTGTACAATCCTTATTGGAAGCCCAGATGTGCTGCTGTTTGTTTAGCATCCCCTTCAGAATTGATGGCTGATGTTTTGTGCTTCCTGAGAGCTGCTTGAATATAAGGCTAGAGAGCTTTTCTGAATCCCCCTTTGATTGTTTTAATTCCCTTACAGCTTGTCCTCTGTATTAACAAGGTAATCTTGTCTTTCTCTTACTTTACTGCTCTGACCTTTCAGGGGAAATGTGATTTTAGATTTGGACACCATCCAAAGATGATGCCAGGATGACGAAGGATATTATTCTTGCAAGCAGTCCAGGTCCAAAGATGTGATCTGAGCTATAGTTATTTGCATGTTTTTGATTCCTTCTCTACTCAGAAGTGGTCCACAGACCAGTAGCGGTGGTATCACCTGGGAACATGTTAGAAATGCAGAATTTGGGGAATCCTCCCAGGACCTACCTAATCAGAATCTGCATTTTAACAAGGTTTGGTGGTTTTAAAGTATGTCTGCAGATTCCTTGATATTTCTCTGTTTTGTTGTTGTTGGTTGTTTTAGTCGCTAAGTTGTATCCAACTCTTTGCAACCCCTTGGACTGTAGCCCACCAGGCTCCTGTCCATGGGATTTTCCAGGCAAGAACCCTGGAGTGGGTTGCTATTTCCCTCTCCAGGGGATCTTCCTGACCCAGGGATTAAACCCTCAGCTCCTCCATTGGCAGGCGATTCTTTACCACTGAGCCACCTGGCAAGTCCAAGTGTTCATTTGAAAAGTGAAAGTGAAAGTCACTCAGTCCTGTCCGACTCTTTGCATCCCCATGGACTATATACAGTCTGTGGAATTCTCCAGGCCAGACTGCTGGAGTGGGTAGCTGTTCCTTTCTCCAGGAGATCTTCCCAAACCAGAGATTAAACCCAGGTCTTCTGCATTGCAGGCAGATTCTTTACCAGCTGAGCCACCAGGGAAGCCCATGAATACTGGAGTGGGCATCTGTAGGGTCAGGGAGTTAGAGAAGGCGAGGTTCAGAAAAAGAAGACCGGCCTTTACAGGAACAGATCACCTTTAATGAGGCGAGAAGGGGCAGCAGTCAGATTAGCGAGCTGCTGCATTAACCTAAGGAAAGAGTAAGTATATATAGGTGTGTATGTGGAAAGTTACTGTCCTAAGGGGGCCTGTTCTTCTCCAAGGTTGTTCAGAGATAGGTAACTATCTCTTAAGCGGCTGGGCAAGGAATTTTGGAGATCGACCAGAGGCTGGACCGGCTGGGAGCTGGGCATAATCAACCTAATGTCCATTTTTCCTTTGGGTGAGAGAGTTCTTTGTTTTGCATAGAATGGTGGGGAGGACCTGGAGGGGAGTTTTAACTCCAGGCTACCTGGAGCCTTGCAGCTTTCCTTCAGTATCCCTTCACCAGCGGATTGTCCCAACCTAGGAATCAAACCAGGGTCTCCTGCATTGCAGGAGGATTCTTTACCAGCTAAACCACCAGGGAAGCCCCTTTCTCTGTGGAGCCTAAATCTCCTTGTCTTGAGTATGGGCTGTCCTTAGTGACTTGTTTACAACAAACAGTGTGGCAGAAATGGTGGAGTGTGACCTGCAAGGCTGCTAAGTCATAAGAGACCTTGGAGGCTCCACATTTCTCTCTAGGATCCCTCTCCCCCTCTCCAGGAAGGCAGTTGCCTTGTGGTGAGAACAGTTAACCTGTGGAGTGGGTCACGTGGCCGAGAACTGAGGCCCCCTGCCAACAGTCCTCTTGTGAAACATCTCTAAAGGGAATCCTCAGCCTCAGTCAAGCCAACATCCTGACTGCAACCTCATGAGAGGCTGAGAGCCAGAACCACCGGGCTGAGTCACTCCTGACTCTCAGCAACTATTAAGGATAATACGTGCTCAGTCATGTCCAAATCTCTGCAACCCCATGGCCTATATAGCCTACCAGTCTCATCTGTCCATGGAGTTCTCCGGGCAAGAATCCTGGAGTGGGTAGCACCTCCTTCTCCAGGAAGGTGATTTTCCTTAGGCAGGGATCGAACCCACGTGTCCTGTGTTGCAGGCAGATTCTTTACCGTCTGAACCACCAAGAAAGCACCCCATTATCTAAAAGTAACCACTGTTGGTAGTTCACTGCCTTTATTTCAGGCTCAAAAAATCCTCTGTCCATATGTGTACAGCTTGGGGTTTGTGTTGTTCCTCAAACGGAATGATAAACTGTGCTTCCTGATCTGATGTGTACATTTTTGACTTCGTGAGGGGTATCGGCCACTTTTCCAATCTGTGGATCCAGCCTATGGGTCCACCGCGTCCCTCCAGCTGGCTGCTAGTTCCCAGCAGAACCACCGCCACCACGAGCCGGGCAGCCTGCACTGGGCTCGCATCCCGGCTCAGCAGAGGAGGAAGCGCAGGGCAGGCTGGAACGTAACCACTGGGCTCTCTTGTCTTCTTTCCCCTGGCCTCTTAGGTCCTCTCTTCCGCCAGCGGGGGGCATCTGGGTTATTAATTAACATGGGGGACTTGCTTCGGGGACCACCCTTGAACACAGTCTCTAGAATTTCCAGAGGAGGGACCCCCTTGGGGTCCTTAACCCTTCTGGAGACCCCAGACTTCTTTGCCAATATAATAAAAGCTCTGGACCTTCATCCCTGGGCCTCCTTTAGGCCTGTCGATCCGGGTGATTTGAGAAGAAAACGTGACCTTTCCCCACCACGAGGAACAAAAGAAACCTTCCCTCAAAAATGGTTCTTTCCGGCTCTACGGGAACATAAAGCCCTTTTCTACTGAATATGTTTCCAAAGGTTTAAAAGGCTCCTTTTGCCTTCGAGGACGTCCTCCCTCCCACTCCGGTTCCCGAAATGGCAGCCCTGCAGGCCTGTGCCTGAGCCGCGGGGCCTTTGATCCGGATCGCGGAGGACGATCCGCGGGGCTCGCCAAGGGCGAGCAAGGGCGCGCGCCGCCCGCCGCCGCCAGAGGGCGCGCTCGCCCCGGCGATCCGAGTGCTCCGGCCGCCGCCAGCCCGCCGGGCCCTGCCTGAAGTCTCGGGCACACGCCCGGCGGGCAAGNAGAGAGGAAAACACAGAAGAGGTCGATCATCCTCTCTCTAGGGGAAACACACGATGAAGCCGGCTGCAGGTGTCAAGCAGTGTCCGAGGGGGCCTCGACTTTACTCATTAGTTCGTGCTGCTCCCTGGACGCAAGCCTCCCGCCCTGGAAAGCTCAGCGCTTTCCCTGATGAAGGCTGTTTGCCCTTCTAAACCCGCATCTCGTGGTGAAGCCATCCTTCACGTCCTGTCCCGTCCCCGTCCCTCCGCTTCTTGCATCCCAGCGTTAATGCCTCCCTGCCATCTCTCCGAGCTGGCACGAGCTCCCCCAACACCTGCAGGTTAGCTTGCCGTCAATGTTTTTGATAACCTAATCTAAACTTTAGAAAACATATGGAATGGAACAAAAGCAATTACAAGTAATGACAAATGAGCCTCCTGATCTCGATATGCACACACCTAGAAACTTGATGAACATATGAAACTGGGAGGGAGGGCCAACCTTGTGAGTGAGTGCCCTTCAGTCACTATTCTTGTCCATCTGCATCCCAAAACCTGGCAAACATTTAATGTGTGACCATGTCTCTACTCTTTTGAAATGCTTTTTATTCATTCCTGCTATTTAGCTTTTTTCTTTTTTTGAGGATTTCTTTTCATGATACATTTTTCCTTTTTTTTTTTTTGGTTCAACTTGAGTATTTCCAAGGTTGTATAGAATTTCCTACTTCTTAATCCTGGATTTTTTAACTGGGCATGTGCATCAGAATAAACTCTTGAGATTAAAAAAAAAAAAAATCTGTAGATGTTCCTGCTCTGCCCAGTACTACCGAAGCAGAAACTTCTGGGCTGGAGCTAAGTATGTGTGTGCTCAGTCATGTCTGACTCTCTATGACCCCATGAACTAGACCCCACCAGGTTCCTCTGTCCATGGGAATTTCTAGGCAATAATACCAGAGTGGGTTGCCACTTTCTACTCCAAGGGCCTAAGGGATAAATATAACTTAATACGCTCTGATACACAGCCGTGGTTAAGGATCAGTGGTTTGATTCCACAAGGACTTTATTTTAAACCTGCCTCCGAATAGGTGCTTTCCCTCTGTTTTCCATCCTACTTTTCTGGGCTGCTTTAGGATTTCCACTCTGTCCCACTTCTCCTGCACTACCTTCTGCTAAGATGTGACTTGTAATTGCAGTATTCTCCAGCCCATTCAGTGCCATGACAGTTGGAAACATATTCCAGATCAAGTTGTCTTCATCAGGTAGGAACAAGGCTGAACAGCCGCCCTCCCTGTTCTGCTGGGTGATTGGCCTTTGTGTGGTATTTTCCATGCCTAACTTCCAGCTGGCTTTATTGAAACAGTTTGAAAAAATTGCATGGAGATGCCACCTGTTACATGGACTTCCTGATGCTCTCTGTATGTGTGTTTAAATAAGACAACATGGGCATTAAAAAGAATAATTATCTCAGTTATCTGGATGCTTTAAGGTAGCATATTATTCTAAGTGCTGTGGAATAAAGGAAATTTAGGATAGGAAATTCATACTCCTTTCTTATATTATGTAGAAGAGATGCAAAACATTTCAGGTTTGCTTTAGTAGGAAGTTGTTAGTTCTGCTAAATGAAAAACCCATAGGATGTTGTGTTCAGGTATGGTTTGATCCAGGAGCTCAAGCCAAGTACTTATCTTCTCTCCCCTCTCTCTGCTTCCACAGCGTTGACATTAGGCTCCAAGTGGCCCCCGGGGGCCTCTTCAAGTATGAACACATTGTTATTACGTAGCACTTTCATACATCACCTCCTAATACTCTTCGATCCAAAAGAAGGATGAGGGTCTCTTCCTCTAGCTTCTGCAGTAGAGGGAGAAATGTTTGTTTTCCCAGAATCCAAAACATAGCCTTCCCCCACCTCTAGCTTCATTTCTCTCCAATCAGATCAAATTCCTGGCCCTCAACCTGTCCTGGGGGATTGTGACTAATCTCATTGGCCATGCCTGGTTACACGGTTGCTCCTGAAGTAAGTGGAGTTGAGACAATTCCACCCAAGCCACGTGGGTCAAGAGTGGGTAAGGTGGCCCCCCAAAGGAAGCCAGAGTCCTCTCACCAGAAGGGAGAACAGATATTGGGCAGATAAAAAGGCCTGGTGTCCCCTGAGTCCAGGAAGTTGTGATGGAGACAGGACTTGGGTGGATGCAAGTGGGGCAGAGGGTTCCAGATCCGGTGGAAGGCTGAGACCCAGGGAACATTACTATAGCCTCCCCTTGATGGTGAAGAAGGACCTGGGTCAGTGCTCTGGGGTGCCAGGCGGCCTAGAAAGATGGTCTACACCACCCGGGTCTGAATTCTGGCTCTGCCACTTACCAGGTGTTACCTAACCTCTCTGGGCCTTGATTTCCCCCTTGTAAAAGATGGCATTGGGGGTATCATGGATAAACATGAAAACAATATGCCAAGTGGAAAGAACCAATCGCAAAGGCCATAGAAAATGTGATCCACTTACATGAAATGTCCAGAATAGGCGTATCTAAAGAGACAGAAGGTAGATTCGTGATTGATTGGGGCTGGGGGGAGTTGGGGGGTAATGAAAATATTCTAAAATTGATCGTGGTGATGGTTGTACAACTGTGACTAGACCAGTCATTGTACATTTTTTATCTGTGAATTGTGTGCTATGTGAATAAAAGCAACCACGGAGGTTTTTAAAGATAATACGTGTCATGTGTTTTGAGCAGTGTGGGTCACACCTGCTGTACCAGCACGATCAGACCCAGAGGTCATGGCAACTCTGACTCTCCCAGGTCCCTGGTGCATCACCATCCTGAATTCCCGTCATCTGGTCCTCACTTTTCTGAACAGTCCCATCCTTCAGTCCCTTCCATCACTCCACCGATGCCTGTGCCTCTGTTTCCTGGCAGGATACTGATGGCATAGAAAGAAGAAGGGCAGGACTTGTTGGCTATTCAGAAAAGATTCATGATGGTCAATTTTATGTGCCCACTTGACTGGGTCTCGGGGTGCCCCGACATTTGGTCAGACATCTGGGTGTGTCTATGAGGGGGCTTTTGGCTGAGATTAACACTTGAATGAGTGAAGCAGGTGCTCCCCTCCTGTGTGTGGGCTTCATCCAATCAGCTGAAGGCCTGATTAGAGCAACAGGATGACCCTCCCGAATGAAGGAGGCAGCGCCTCCTGCCTGGCTGCTGAGCTGGGACTGAAACCTTCTCCTGCCTTCGGACTCAGATGGAAACACTGGCCCTTCTTGGGTCTGGAGTCACCAGACTTGACAGAGAACCACGCCATTGGCCCTCCCCCGTCTCTGACTTGCTCTCTGCAGATCCTGGCCCCTGTCAGCCTCCCGATCACATGAGTCTCTTCCTTTCTCGCTATGTGTCCTCTTGGTTCTGCTTCTCTGGAGAACCCTGACTAACGCAGAAACGAAAAGAAAGATGAATCAGTGGGGAGTTTCAGGCTGGATGACTAGGAAAACAATCAGAATGTAGGACAAAAATAAGGAAATCAAATCAAGGAAGTGACCGGTTTGTGAAGTTTTCTTTCATTCACAAATACTAATTCAGCATCTGCCCTGTGCCAGATAAAGTGCCAGTTGTTGGAGATTAAAAGCTCCACCAGTTGCCAAAACCAGAGGCTAAATCCGTCCTTGCCTCTGTCTTCAGTCTCAGCCTCAAGACGGAATGAATCTCAAGATCTATAATTTAACCTTCTCGAATTGCTCTTGGCTCCCTTTCCTTGGCAGGTGGAGAGGCTTCTCGTTGGAATCACCATCTCCTGGTGGTTTTCAATGGTAAAGAACCTGCCTGCCAATGCGGGAACCGCAGGAGACGCAAGCTTGATCCCTGGGTCAGGGAGGTTCCCTGGAGAAGGGCATGGCACCCTGCTCAAGTATTCTTGCCTGGAGGACTATATGGACAGAGGAGCCTGGTGGGCTACAATCCATGGGGTCACAAACAGTTGGACACGGCTGAGCAACTAACACCTTCAACTTCACTTTCACCCATCTTTTTAAAATCCACGACATTTAATAATGATTTCATTTAAGGTTCAGGAGAACCATGGAGATATTTGAGGTATTTGAAGAGTGACTGTATATGAAATTAAAAAATAGAAAGTTATTGGTATTGATCAAGGTGTACCGACATAAAGTATTTTTGCAGTCCCAAGTGACTCAAGGTGATAAGGATGTTAAATACTAACAGTGTTATGTGTTTGTTGGGGAGGATGAAATGGTGTTCAAGGGAAAATTATCTGCATTTTGCAATATAATGCCATTAAGCAAAGCAGGGCCTAAAGTATAGAAAAGATGGGAAGGGGAGAGAGAGCCTCTTCAGACAGGGAGAAAAAGACACCCATCCTGGGAGCAACTAA